CATAACAGATTGGATCCTCCATTTCTCAGTTGGAAAGATGGAAGCAACAGAATAAGCTGGAGTTATCAAAAAGATAAGATTAGTGCTAAACAAAAATTGGAAAAATATTCACAACAGACTCACTCACAGAAGATGGACTGAATGGATCGCTGGTAGTCCAACTCGTCGTTGTATTTCATGCTCAAAAATGCCCAGGCATTGGGCTTCAGTTGAGACCAGCCCAGTTTACAAGGCATTAGGTCACATACCTCTGAAGGTTGTTGAAGAAGATGTTCTATACTAAACAATACAATTTCACTGCCTTTGCCTCGTCGCTCTGCTGCTTGTATAAGGAAAATTGTGGCTCAACTCTTGAAAAGTCGTCGAGTTACTATCCAATTAAATTACCATTACATTTAGAGCGGCTCAATTTATAAGGAAACGGTGCAAATGGATCAAGAAGCTCAAGAGGTTCAACAAACTCCACGTTGTACCCAATGTGGAAATTGTCAAAACGAAGGCAAAAAATCGTACTACTATTTGTTTTTATTGAATTTACAGAAAAGGGTAAACTATACTGTGAAATTAATAAAAATGTATTTTGTTTATAATGTGGTTTTAAAATGTTTTTATCATCAATATTTTGATTTTAAAATATCCTTAATATTATCTCTAAAGAACCTTATTCTTATTTTCTTTCTTTTACACTTATGGGTATGAATTATGAAATATATTTTTTTAGGAGCTTTCGCAAGTAGCCATTATAATAAATTTAATTATGCTTCATAGCTATAGTTTGCATATTTACGGGCTGTAGCTACAGTTTAAGCTGTCTTGTTTGTATAATTCACATGTTTGTATAATTTGCGCGTACATTTGTATAATTCAGTCATTTTTGTATAAACTCAAAATAACTAATTTATACAATTACAAACATCAGAAGTGTAAACAGTTATACAAATTATATTATATAAATTCTGAATTATACAAAAGTTATACAAATTTCGAATTATACAAACGTGTGAATTATACCAAACTAAAAAGCTGAGTCACGTAATTATAGCTAACATAGGTCACGAATTGTAATTAAGGCAAACTATAGTTATGTTAGTAATTAACTAGTATATGTTTGCTTATACGCGTAATATTCCCTTTTTTAGAGTTAATATCTCAAAAGGTCACTCAACTTTCACAATTTGTCTAAAAAAGTTTTTGAACTTTGTTTTGTATCAATAAAATCACTCAATTTAGGTTTTTATAAATCATCTAACTAACTTTATCAATAAAAAATGTGATTTTATTGATACAAAACAAATCATCCAACAAAAAAACTATATTTTTTATTGAATTTATATCATAGTAATTACTCCCTCTGTCCATAATTCTTCATTTATATCACAATAATTACTCCCTCTGTCCATAGTTCTCCATTTATATCACAGTAATTACTCCCTCAGTCCATCGTTCTCCATTTATATCACAGTAATTACTCCCTCTGTCCATAATTCTCCATCTATATCATAGTAATTACTCTCTGTCCAACAATAGTTGTCTACTGTACTATTTTGGAATGTCCAACAATACTTGTCTACTTTATGAAATCAATAAATAATTCTATACTTAGTTCCTAATTTATCCTTATCGTTAATTATAGTCATTTCTCTATTACATTTTTCAAGATATTGTATTTATTATATTCAAAAAATGATTAGTAAAATTACTCTTTTATTTATAATTTCTTAAAAAATGTGCAAGTTATAGTGAACAAGTAATATCATTACATTTCGATTGGGACCATGGATAAAGAAAAGGAGGGAGCCAAAGAAATTAGAGAAATCTTGAAAGGTTCAAAAGGTATGGTGAATGACATTAAGGTTCAAAATGTTCTAATTTTGTTATTCATCGGAACTTATACAATATTACTACTCCCTCTGTCCCTAATTACTTATCCATTTTTGAATTGACACACCTATTAATGAACAATTATTGACATAGTCAATTTACCATTTACCGCTATTAATTATGAAGTGGATCAATTAAAAAATTTAAAATTTTCAAAAAGTTCTACCTTTTTCAAAGGAATTAATTGAGGTTATAATAGGTAAAAAAAATTGTCCTTTCTTGATTTGTCAAAATGGACAAGTAATTAGGGACAACTAAAAAAGGAAAAGGAAAAATCTTTTTGGCCAGAAAATTTGGCCAGAATTTGGCCAAAATGATATTTTGTCTATGTTATTTTACCTTTTTAAATATTTTTACCCTTTTAACTTTAATACATTTTAACTAAAAAATGGAAAAAGATCAGTTTATTTTAAAATAAAAAAATATTATAATTTTTTTAATTTTCTAGCCAAATTTTCTGACCATTTAGCACTTCCCAAAGGAAAAATGGATAAGTAATTAGGAACGGAGGGAGTAGCTTTTAAGTACGTGCATTGTATGTGAATTCCTTATTAATATTATAAAAGAAAGCTAAAATTCATATAAATAATATTAAATTTCACAAGTTAATTAGAAATTAACCACAAAACGTTCCTAAAATGTGATTAACAATCTTATTAATAGCCAATTCAACAAAGGAAAAAGTTATAACCAAAATGGAAAAATTACTTAAAAAGATACCTTTTAATAAATAATTACTGATTTTAGCGATACTTTTTATTTATTACCAATTGTAGCAATATATAGCAATACTATGATAAATCTGTAATATGTATTAAAATTGAATTATATATGCAATATATATAAATTATATCCGCTTTAAAATATATTATGCTTGTTTGGTAAGAAATTACACATTGTATTATAAGTGTATTAAAATATGTGATAAATGTATTATTTATCAATAAAATTTGTATTATATGTGTTTTATAAATTGTTCTCTGTAATATGTATTAAAATTGTATTATAAATATATTAAAAGTGATCAAGTAAAAAGAAAATGTTATTGCTATAAATGATAAATATTTTCTTAATATAGTATATTTATGTAAGTTTCCGAACGAAATTGTATGTCATGGCAATAAATTACATTTTACTTCTAACAAAACAAAATTAGACCTCTCATTTATAAGTTCTTCCAACTATTTGGATTACGACCCACATTTAATGTATTTTAATTTAAATATTTTTAGAATGGATCAATAATTCACTTGTTTATATTAATTTATTTTAATTTGATCAAATCTGAATTAATGTTATCTATTTTTAAATTTAGATCATTCGTTCATTGGACACCTCTTTAGTGTGTAGACAAGTGCAAGCGGATTAAAAAGCTCAAGAGGTTCAAATAAATTCCGCGTGTAGTACTATTTGTTCTTTATTGAATTTAGTCTCAAATTTCACACATACTTCCGATTGGGACCTATGAATAGAGGAAAATCTTGAAAGGTTCAAAAAGTTGTGGTGTATTTCATTAAGGTTCAAAAGATTATGATTTTGTTATTTGTTGGAGCTTTTAAGTATGTAGATGACAGGAGAATCCTTTATCAATATTAAAAGAAAATTAAAATTTGTATAAATAATATTAAAAAGTTGAATCAAAATTACCAAAAAAGTTCCTATAATGTGATAAATATAAATAATCTATCTATTTATATCTATATTATTATACAATATTAAAAGCATGAAGGTCTTTACAAATGTTAATTGAATTGTTTGTCTTTCATTAAAGGGAAAAGACTCAAATATGTCATCGAACTTTCAGAAAAGATCATTTATGTCATCCGTTAAAAATTTGACTCATCTATGCCATTGCTGTTAAAGAAAAGGCTCATCCAGACCATTTTTTAACCACTTTTTACACCCCAAAGGTTTAACACTTTTCAATTGAAGTTTTTGGATCAAATGTACTCTTTTTGCTTGTTCTTCCTTAAGAACACCAAGAATCTTCTTAAAAGTGAGCATTTCGATTTCCTACTTCTGTAGTTCAATTCCTAGTCCTTAAAGAAGGTATTTGTGCCCTTAGGGGATGGTTTGAATTCATCCTTATCACGATCCAAAAGTCAGGTGTCATCACACCTGCCTTATCCCACCAATACATGCCAACTTAAACAACTCTTGGCAAGGGCAATAACATAAGTAAGAAAGAAATAAAGAACTAAACATAACATAATAATGCAAAACTCTTAATATAACACAACTTTCCCCCAAAACCTAGTGTCATGTGTACAAGCCTCTAAATAATACAACAGATTTGAAAGAAGTACAAGTCTACAATAATGGGATAGTAGAAAGACAAAATCAAGAGTATGTGATAACTGTTGAGATAATCACGAACTCCAAAGGTAAGTCTCGAATGAAGATGTGAGAGGATAATCAAGATGATCCAGACTCGTAACCTACACAGGTGTGAAAGCAAGGGAGTAAGTACCAAACAATAACGGTACTCAGCAAGCATTCCTAGCTAACCCTAAGTAAAGTGATATCGAACACAAAAACCCCGACCCGTCACATCTTCTGAACCTCCTCAAACTACAATCTCCATATAATTTAGAACCAACTCATCCTAACAGTTTCACAAGTAATGGAGCAACACGTTACATGTAATATGCCGTTATTCACATATCAGAGTCTCCATAATATCACCACAACCTGTCAGTTCTAGATAGCCACGAAAACATAACAACTCACTCACAAAAGACAAGAATGACAATGAGGCGTGAATACAGTGCAATGCAACGCAATGTCATATAGAATGAAACATATCTGTTTTGTTGATACACACTCACTGACTAGTATCTCGGGACACATGGAGGACCTCTATGTCTGTGCATTCACTACACAACTGCTAACTTGAAGCTCAGGACCCATAAAGGACATATTAGTCCATGCATCCGCTGGATGCATTTTTCATCGGTATAAACATCAATCGTTGAAACCATATTCCATCGGCATAAACATCAATCACCAGAATCATTTTCCATAAGCATAAACATCAATCGCCAGAACCATTTTCCATCAAAATATCACGAATTCAAATCCCACAATAGTGTTTCAGATTCAATACAAATAAGCATTTCACATGTATAATAAGAAGATGATAAATTCCACATCAATAACCAATCCACACACACAATTATGGCACATCATCAAAAGTGAGTCAAGATAATCATTCAAGCTATTCGTGACACATCACACAATATTATATCTACCAATTCATTTTTCCCCACATGATCATTACAAATATTCGGGCAACGTTTAATAACAAGTATGATATACGAAGACCTTCACCATTTTCCATTACTCCCAATTACACAACAAGACATACAAGGTTCAATATACTTAACAAAAGGTTACAGAGGTTCACTTACCTTAAAAAAGAAAAAAATTAACTCGGTACGCTTCATGTCAATTTATTTTAATTTTCAACTGTCTATCTATTCATATCAATTTATTTTAATGTGTTCAAATTCAAATTAACGTGGTCTATTTTTAAATTTAGATCACCCGTTTATTTTCCACCTCTAAATA